CAGTAAGCTGTGTCTTTAAAAAGTGAAGATCATTATTGTGAGGATTAGCTGTTAATTTTATATTTATTTTGTTTATACGTTGGTTAAGTTTATCTATTTGTGTTTCTGGAGTACAAGGTAATCGAAAAGCTCGAAAAATTGATTGAATTCTTATTTTATGTAAGTTCCAACTTTCTTCTTTTGTGTCTTTTAGTTCAGCAATAATTTCTGATTTGATAAGCTTATTTAACATTTGTCTTCTGTTGTATTTCCATAAGGGAGATGGAAAAGAGTTACTATTAAAATTTAGTATGCCTTCTACCAGTTGGTGATCTGAGTTTCCATACTTTGTAGTAATTGATTGGCAGGTATTTATATAGTCTTCATGTATAAATATGTAGTCAAGTTTGGTTGCCATCATATTTTCATTTTGTACATTTCTTTGAAAGGTAAGAAAAGGATGTATTCCTATATGAGTAGCCAAATCAATGAAGTTTCAAAGTTTTGATTTTAAAATTTGACATGACGGATCATTATGAGATGGTGTTTGACTGATTCTATCTAGTGAAGTACTTAAATTTATATTAAGGTCACTAGCTATTATATTTATTAAGTTAGGTTTAATTATTGGGATCCAATTGTTAAAAAAGTGTAGTCTTTCTTGTATTCGAGAAGGAGCATAAATGTTAGTTATGTTGAATGTTCTTTGTTTAATTTTACATTGAATTGTAAGAATTCTTTCTTCTTGTAAAATTTCAGGATTAGTAAACTTTATATGTTCATTTCCTGCTAATATCGCTATTTTGTCTGTCTATATAGATTCTTAGTTCTATTGTTGTTTAATTAAATTACGTGTTTTCTCATTAGCAAGATTAGTCTCTTGAAGAAGTATAACATCACATTTATAGGATTTTAATAAGACTAAAGTTTGTTATCTTTTGACTAAATCATTAAGTCCCTTTACATTAAGAGTTGCTATTTTAATTTTTTAATTAGTCATAATAATTAGATATATTAAAGAAATGTTATTTGATTTGTTTTTGACTTT